ATTGTGGATTGGTAGCCCTGATTGACAGACTTGGCAATGGAGGGGGAGGGGGTACGGATGAAAGGAAACTAGGGTACTCATGGTCTTGCCACTGGTAAGTGTGGATCTGCAGCCCAGGGTAGGAGCTCAACAATTATTTACCCAACAAATGAATGGGAAAGCCATCGCCACCCATCTCTAGGTCTCAGTGAAATGGGCAGGTTAGGATGGAGATGAGAAATGACGGAGGAGAAAACCATGCCACAGTATGGCGGCGCTGGGCACACAGGTCCTCAGAGGGGCATCACTATCCAAGGTCTAAGATCCGACCAGGTTTTTCCAAGTCCACCGCCACAGGGAGCCGCTTCCAGCCCAAATCCACGGGTTGAGATCAAGTTTGCCCCGGGTAGTGAGGACAGGAATTAAGGGCCAGGCAGATGACACCCGCGCCCCGCCTGCACCCCCAGACCCCCCCCAGCCCGGCCCAGGTTCCCCCTCACCTCTCCGCAGTGACGATGATGCCATGGGCCGGGCCTTGGTTCCCTTAGATCACAGGAATTCAGGGGCGCAGGTGAACCCCACTGATCGTCGTAATCTCAAGTAGGACAAGAAGCCAAAGCGGGTGTGTGTGTTTGGGGGGGGGTGCACAGAGAAGTCCAGATCCCAAAGGGCGCAGAACCCATCGGGGTTCCGCCCCGAGCGCCCGGCTCAGCGCGGGGACTGTCGGGTCCCCAGGTCCTTTCCCCTCGGGGCTGGGAGCCTGAGGTCAAAGAGGAAAAGTGATTTCCTCAAGGTCACTCAGCGGAACCACCCCGAGGCCGAGTCAAAGAAGCCTCTAGGTCATCGGTCCCCGGGTCCCCCGCCGCAGATCCGCGTCCTTCCTCCGCCCACCCCACCCCACCGCAGCTCCGGTTTCGGGGGCAGCGCGCACCGAAAGCCGGCGAGTAATTTGGAGGTGAAGTGGGGGTGCGCCGAACACCCCTGATTTCCGATCAGGCGATCACGAGAACCCCGTTTTCGACGCCTCGGATTCCGGGACCGCTGTGTGGGGTGGGGGGGGGAGCGGGCCGTGGTGCGGAAGGGGGCGCGGAGATGCCCCGCACCAGCCTGCGTGCGTCCCCTTCCCTCCCGTGGGCAAGGGCCAGCGCGGCGGCGGCGGCTCCTTTAAGAAAAGTTCGCGGGGCGAGTTCATCAAAGTTTAAAAAGTGGTGGCTGAGGAGAGAATGGAGGCGGATAGAACTCTGAGAGGGGACCGGCCGAGCGGAGGAAGAGGAGGAGGAAGAGGAGGGGAAGGAGGAGGAGAGGGGCCTGGCCCTCGCGGCGGGCCGGCCGGCGCGCCCCGGCCAGGGCGAGTCCCACAGTGCGCGGCCGGGGATTCCTAGCTACTCAGGAGGCTGAGATCTGAGGATCGTGGTTCAAAGCCACCCCGGGCAGGAGAGACCGTGAGACTCCTATCTCCAACAAACCACCAGAAAACTGGAAGTGGTGCTGTAGCTCAAGTGGTAGAG